TTCTCATGATCTTTTATCAGGGATTTTTGACAACCATAGAGATCTTATTAATGTATGTGTGTATCCCATAGAAAACAAAGCTTAAAAACATTGTCTTTGAGTATGTACTTTACATAAGCCTACTTCAAAAACGTGATTTCACAGCCACCTCAGGAAATAGTACCTCTCAAGATGGCCGGAAATGACACTTTTATATAGTAAAATTCATCATCATCACATTATCATTAGGCCTATAGTCAAAATGAAATGCCAACAAATTTCTCATGATCTTTTATCAGGGATCTACTTAATATCCAGGACAACTTAGGCCTAATTATAGCTTACTAAGCTTTAACTATATATACTATATTAGGATCAACAAATCACAACTTTTTTTCGCATTTAGCACAATTTTCTTCACTTTTTACTGTTAATATTAATATCAATTATTACTATCGTCATCATCATCATTGTTATTATTATTATTATTACTAGTAGTAGTAGTATTATTAAACAAACATTTAAAGAAACTTACAAAAGGATAAAAACGAAATTGAACCACAGTATCGCATTTCTATCTTAAAAGACCTAGCCTGAAATTTATGGATTTAAGATTTTTTTAAATCACGCTTAGGCCTACCGGTATGTGTTCTATTAGGCCTATGTATAACGGGTACTGATGCATATTTACATGTTTAGAAGTATTCATTTTGAGTGATCCCAGGAAAGAATTTGTATTGGCTCAAGAATAAGCTTTAAAATTTTAACAGTGTGTACAAAGGGGGGGGGGGGGAGCCGCGGCTCCCACGGTATGAGCCTAATTATAACTATTTATATCTGTCTGTATAAATATGATACTTGTAGATCTAGTTAGGATTACACTAAATATATGAATTCTATTCTTTACAGGGACTTTGATTTGGCATTTGCTGGCTTTTACTATCGAGATATTTGCCCGTCTCGCACATTTGTCGGTCAAATCTATTGGGCACAGAACGCAGCTGGAGTATGGGTGAGAGTGCTACAGAAACCTTGGTACAGACAGTATTTCCGCCAAACAATATGCACTCAGTAAGTTGAATATAATTATTACTTTATATTAATTTATATATCTTGTTTTTTTTTATCTGGACATTAACATTCAAGATATATAATCATTATATATAATCATTATATATATTCAAGATATATAATCATTACAAATCTGGAATCTGATTCACAGTGCTTCACTGAGTTTTGAATTATTTCTTGATCTTCATATTTTGTCCATTGTGCCGAAAGGTTATTAGGCATATTTGTTGCATGATTTTATATAATGCATATACACTTCTCCTTCGCTATACAATATCACTCCAATACTGATTCCTTTCCAGTTCTTAATAACTGGGAATCCCATGATCCTCATTTAAAATTATAATTTTGTTGTTTCTTTTGTCTATGGTTTGAGAGAACCTGTATTTGGGGGTTGAACATAAAATTGGTTAAAAATATATTTAGTATACCCGAAGTCCTCCAAAAGGTTCGGGGAATGTTTTCAGAAAATGTTTCTCAGCAGCTGGAAAAAGGTTCTTCACTGCTTTATTTTAAGGTTTTTCTGAAACTCTGTGCCCAAAGCAAAACCAATTGAGGACTGCAGCTCGACACCAATAATGCCAAACCTTCACGAACATCTAAAAAACTGAGTTCTTTTAGTTTTGATGTTTGCCAACGTAACCCATGATTTGTCGCCCTCAAGATTCTGAATCAGTGGAGACAAAAATAATTGCATTAAGCAATTGTCGTCCTGTAAACATTAAAAAAAATGAAACCATATTTAATGAGGGGAACAATTGGTTTACATATTATTTTTGTTTAAAACACCATATGCCTATAATAGTTCATGATATTGTAGGCCTACACAAATAATCCTTTGAAAAGATAATGAAATAGACACGACGTTGTATTTGATCGCTTAAATTAAAGATACGAAGTATAATCGTTCATAATAAATTCGCAGAAGAAATTTTCTAATAATAAATAATAACGAGAAATCCTTATAAAGAATCATTGTTTCTAAAAGCCAATGTGGTGCGTCATCGAATATAGTTCCACAAATAGGCATAAGCCGACAAAGATATTAATTTTAACTGAATAATGATTATTATTTTTTTCTTTTTTTTTAAAATTCCAGACGTTCTTGTACCGGATTGTTCAACAGTCGATGTATCCGCAAGTACCGTCTGGCCAGAGCATTGGTTTACCGAAATATCGGATGTGGGTGGGGTTATGCATACTTCGAGTGGCAATACATCCGGGTTCCATCATGCTGTGTCTGCCAGACGCGTGTCTACTTTTAATAAAGTAACTTTGTTTTAATATAAATCATTACAAAAAATAATTCGACCGAATAGACCTATTTACAGCCTTAAAATTAATAATTGTAATCATTATTTTGTGTATTTTGTGATGTAAATCATAACAGGCATAATTCATATATCTATAATATATCCTGAAATAGGATTAGACATGTTAGATTATTGTCGAAAATGTTTTTGGATTTAAATTAAAATGTGGAAAGTAAGTGCGACACTATGTATTCTTTTGTTTTATTA